TGGCTTTTCAATGAATGCATGCAATATTTCCTCAAAATTTCTTTTAGAAGGTGGAGCATAAGGAGGTGCATATCCATGAGAATTTTGAAAATTATGGTGTGCTTGAAACGGTGGTTGTGAAGTTTGTGCATTATTGTTAACACTCTTCCAACTGAAATTTGGGTGATTTCTCCAACTAGGGTTATATGTTTGCGAATATAGGTTATGATTGAGCTTTTTCATTATTCTCATTATGAAGAGACTGTTATCTTCTTCAACTATATTTTTTGAAAATGATGAGGATACCCTACAAAGTCTATCACTTAATGTACGTGACCACACTCTCATGCACGTGTAGGAATACAATGAAAGGAAGAAGAAAACAAAAGAAAGAGAAACAAAAGAAAAGAAACAAAGTTAGGTACAAAAAAAAGTAAAAAGAGAAAATTAAATAAATACTATAATTTGTACAAAAATTTACCTCCTCGGCAACTACGCCAAAAACATGACATGACTAAAAAATTAATGTCTTCTCCCAAATGCAGGAGTGTCAAAATAATAAATAACCTGGCAAGAACGGGGTCGAACCACATGGAGGTTAATTGTATAAATTATAAATAACAGCAATACAACAACAACAACAACAATAGTAATAGTAATAATAATAATAATAATAACAATAGAAAAAGAAGAAGAAGTTGATGAAAACTCTGAGATGGAAGATCAATGTAAGGATTAAACAATGATAACAACAAATGTCAAGGTTATAGGATCTAGCAATGGTATTTCAAACAAATATAGTATAAACTTTTATTACTCAAATGGAAACCATACACAAAGAAGATTCTAATCAGATTATAAATTGTTAACATGATTATATTAATAATGCTAATATTTGTAAATATTGTCAAGTATTCATGATTATAACTTATGTTAACAACAAATCAAGTTCCTTTCATAGCATAGATGTCGGTTATACCATACAGTTTGTGCTATGAAAGTGCCAAGCATTTGTTATGCCAAGTGTTATACAACATAAATCTAGATTAGTTATTTAATAAGCAAAGTATTAAAAAGTGAATAAGATAACAAATACAAAACATGTTAGTATCAAACATTAAAGTCCATATTAAGTTTACACCATACTTAATTTTATACCATTAGTGTAACCTTTTCACTTTGACATAATAAAATTAGCTAAACATAATGAAAGAGAGAAACATAAATAAACAAAATAAGAACATAAATAAAATAAAAGTTAACTAAATAAAGAAAAAAAAATGAAAGGCATAAACAAGATATTAATAAAAGCAAAACTTAAGCATTATAAAAATACAAAAAGAGAAAACAAGAGCATGATCTTGTTCTGGAAACCAAGATTCCTAAATGCATGGCAATGCCTCCTTTTATAGGCCAAAATTGAGAACTATTGATTTGATGACTAATTGTTGAATGAGTGACTAATTCTTGATTTGGTGATAATTTTCATCTTCTTGTCTACCCAAAACGTCATTGATAACGTCAGAATTTGAACTAGACCTCCACATAAAAGTTCTAGGAAATTGTCTTAAACTTCTAGAAAAAAAAAATTGAGGTCATTTAGACTCCTAGAATTCTAGATATGGGATGAACACTGAACAGTGTTTGGGCTATGGGACATATTCAGACTTCTTTGTTGTAGCTATAATTTGGACTTGAAAACGACCTTTTTAAAATAGACTTCTATATGAAAGTTGTAGGCCTGTATCTTACCTTTTTATTCATATAAATTAGACTTAAATCCGAGATCTACAGCTCCAGATATGACCCAATTACTAAACAGTGTTTTAGTTTGAACTACACCAGCATCTCTTTTCTAAGTTTGGTCATCTATTTGTCCTCTCAATTTCTCATCAATCAATCATTTCATCTATGTGACAGACCTGCATTTAAGATGAATATTTACCATAAATTCAAGGTATCTTATATTATTAGATATATTATTATAAAGCATGCATTATAAAACACAAATTAAAGGTATCTTTTCTAAGTTCGGTTATCTCTTTATCCTCTCAATTTCTCATCAATCAATCCTTTTATTTATGTGATAGACTTGCATTTAAGATGAATATTTACCACAAATTTAAGGTATCTTATATTATTAGATATATTATTATAAAGCATGCTTTAATTAAGGAGTTAATGATACTTCAAATGCAAAATGATGATATAAAACCTTGATAAAAATACACTTTTAAGTAATAATCATTCTTTAAATATTTTAGGTAAAAAAACTAATTATGTTAAAGAAAAGTTAAAGATTATGCTAAAATACTTTAAATAAAATAAGTTTTTTCGTGTTTGTTTTTAATAATAAAATATTTAATTGTGTGTACATTCTAAATTTTTTATCTAAATTAATATATGTTTATATTATTCAAAATAAAATAAAAACTATCAAAACCTAATGCATTAATTTAGGATCCATGTCTAACTACATTATCTAATTTTTAATTTTGGAATATCGGTGTTGGATCCAAATAAATAATAATGATTAATACATTTGTAAATAGACTTATATCAACAGAAAAAATCTTATAATAAAAAATTATCATTTATTTTTTTGTGTTTAAAAAATTAAAAAGCCGTGTATTAATAATTTATATTATCTATTTTTCAATATTCTTAAATAATGATTAAATGCTTCATTTATTCGAGGTTGGTTTTATGGATAACAAAAAAATTATTACACTACAAAATTGTGGAAAACAAAAGAAAGATGTCATAATTTATTTTTATTTATAGGTTTTTCATGTATTTTTAAAGATAACGTTTTTCCTGAAAAATGTATGTTTCAGTGAAGTTTAATCAATATACATTATTTTTTGGATTGTTGTTACTTTGTTTGCGCAATAAGATAGGTAAATACAAATAATAGAAAGAGAATGTGAATAATTTAGGGAGCCAAATTGGAGTCAAGTATGAAAAGGGATCTAAATGATTAAGGACTAAAAAATAGTGCAAAAAAAATATGAAAAATAGATAAGAAATTAAACAAAATTGGAAAATTATAGGAAAGGTATCAACAAATAAAATTAATTGATTAAAAATCAGCAAATCAATAAGGAAACAATATAAAATTCCCTGGCAATATTTGTTTTCCAGTTTAGTGTTTCCTATTTTTGGAGGATCTAAACAATATAAATAGTGGGAAGCTCTAGATAGATATATCAAGGGCCGTTTGGCTAAAAGCTAATTTTTTTTAAAAAAACTAATTTATTTAAAATTAATTTTTTAAATGTTTTGAGATTGTTTTGATGTATTAATATTAAAAATAAATTTTAAAAATATAATAATAAAAAATATTATTTTAATATATTTCTGAGTAAAAAAAACCTTGAAATGCAAGAATGTATATATAAGAAATATTATAGACACTATTCTAGTGTTGTAATCTCTATCTTTATTATTATATGTTGTTCTACACATATAAATAGAAAATAATTGACTAACTAAAGGTCAAGCCTCCTCCTTTTTCTCATAAAGGAAAAAAATATAATTTGTATTCATTTCAATAACTTTAATTAATATTTTAAGTAAATCATTAACTATAAATATTTATAAACAATATTTTAATGCAATAAAATATTAATTATAATTATAATAACTTTATAATTTTTTAAAATTATTTTTATCATGAAAAAGTACCGTAAAGGTAACTTATAGTGGACAGTTGGATGAAGTATAAAAAATAAAGAGTTTCTAGATAAACTTATTTTTTCTTGTTGTTGTCTTACATCGTTGTATCCGTCAATCAACACGAGAGCCCAACTTTAAGGTTTCATTTGTTTTATAGAAAGTATTTTTTTAAAAAATACTTTTCAAATTTTCTTGTATTTGTTTACCATTAAAAAAACTGGTCAACAGAAAATATTTTCCAGTCCAAGAAAATTTTGGTTTGGTTTTCAGGAAAGTATTTTTATTTTATTTTGGGTGGAAAATACTTTTCAGAAGTTATGAAAAATTTAAAAATATCATATTCTTTATTGATTATATAAAATTTAGTTATCAAACTTTTCATTGCTATATATTTTGTTTTGAATCCTTTTTTTTTCAATTTTATCTATTAGAATTTGATTTAATTTGATTTTATATCAACTTTGATCCTCATTTTTATGATTGTTATTTACTTTTCTTTTATTATTTTTCTAATTAAAATTTTTTATCTATCAATTTTGATCCTAATTCTTTTGATTATTCCTTATTCTATTTGAAATAGTTTATGAAATTATTATTATTATTATTTTAATTTTATTATCTTTTAGTTTTTTTATCTGTTAAATTTAATCTCCATTATTATGATTGTTATTTATTTTATTTGAGATAATTTATGAAATTAGAATTTTTTTCCATTTCATTATTATTTAACTTTTTAATTTGTAAGATTTGTTTCTTATTATTTTAATAAACTTAAAAAAAATATTAATAAGTTATTTTTTGAGGTTATTTTTCATAATATAATTAAATATTAAAAAATATTTTTTAATTAAATTTTTATAATATTATTAAATATTAAAAAATAATTTACTTTTTAAGAATTTATTTAAAAAAACTAATTTCATGGATTAGCAGAGAGAAGTACCAATCAGTCAAAACGAGAAGAAGAACATCATGATAAGGATCAAGCTCAGCTATTACCAATCAGTCAAAACGAGAAGAACATCATGATAAGGATCAAGCTCAGCTATTACCAATCAGTCAAAAGGAGAAGAACATCATGATAAGGAGCAGGCTCAACTACTTTCCTTTTGTTCTTTTCTTGGCACAGAAATGGCTCATTTCGATCAATCTGAAAACTATTGGCTGCAGAGTTCTATTAAAAGAGCAAGAGCTGAAACCAAAAAAACATATCCCACTCTCAATCTCTCTCTCTCTCTCTCTCTCTC